TTTACACAGACAGACAGACGGACGGACATAGCTAAATCGACTCAGAATTTCATAAGGACCCAGAATATATATACTTTGTTGGGTCTCAGATGAATATTTCTTGGTGTTACACACGAAATGACAAAGTTATATATACCCTCTATCACCACTGATGGTGGTGGAGGGTATACAAAGTAGGAGGTTTTTTTACTTCTCTACAATCTGAAATCTAGAGAAATTACCCTGTCGAATTCGCCACAAAGTTGTTTTTTGAATTCTTTTAAAGTTAAATACCATGTAAATGTCATACTAATACTGGAATTGATATCGCAAGCGAGTTCGAAGATAGAGAACTCGGAAACTTTAATATAAAGTTCGGTTCGGTTCTTTGCTTAGTGTAAGTTTATTCAGACTCTTTGTATACTGACAATTTGATTAATATCATAGAAATTTTGAGTTCAATGTTTGATCAAAAGTCGTAAACACAAATAATATTCTATCAATTTGTTGGTATTACCAAGAATTCGAAGGATTTTTTTGTGTCTAAATATAAAATATCTAAAACAAAACTTCACCCTAAACAAAGCCCACTTCGAACTTCAGTCTGATTTCGTTAAATTTTGTTTACGAGCAAAAAATGCTAAATGGCTACTCTGGCAAGCCGTTTATAGATTAATTTCGCCGTCGTTGAAATTTGCCCTCTGTTCACACAGTGAAAGGGGTTTGTCTTTATACCAACTTGAGAACAAAACCAGTTCGAAGTGAAAAGCTATTACACAAAGTATACAGAGGTGTCACTTTTGACATTTAAAAAAGTCTAAAATCAGCTTTTGTTTGATTTTCAAATTGTTTGGTGAGAAGAGGTATATAAAATACAGCTAAAAAAATTATTGAATTCGTTTTGTGCGAAAGAGAGGGAAATAGTTTTTTGCTCGTGACGCCTCTGTATACCCCTGTGGCTATTACGAGATGAGCTCTAGAGGTAGAGTTAGTTTAAGAAAAACATTCATATCCATTTTCAGTTTTTTGTTTAGAAGTGTGCAAGACTATTCGGTATCTTTAGTCCTGCGGAATAGTATAAAATACTTAAGCATCTGTAGGTATAAAGACAACATTATACATATATAGGCCAACCAGTATAAAGTACTATGTGAAAACTTTAAACAAGTCACGATTTATATCCCCAAAATGTAATTGCGAAATTAAGTGAGTACTAGTCTTCCTCACTTCAATCGAAAATAGTTATTATATAAAAATGCCATCAGTATTTTTCACAAACTTTATTAATCAAAATTCTCAAAATCGTAACAATTTAGAAACAGCTATCAATGCTGGCCAAATTACCGTTGCAATATTTCCAGGTGGACCAGGCAGACCAACCCTGTTGGCTCAAAATCTTGCGGGCACAGGTCACGGAAGCACTGATGTTATCCGACAACAATGCATCACAGCTTACTTTACATTCGTTAAAGGAGAAACGTCCGTTGGAAGGTTGACACCAGTAGTAGTTGTTGATTTGGAAAATACCATAATCATTGGAACCATTAGAGTTGGTAGGTCCCACAACACCAGTGCGATAGGAAGATTCATGCTCAGCTATGCAAGTCCAACGAGCCAATTGATCCTTAGGAACACCCAAATTGTACATGGCTTTAGCCAAAGAACAACGATTGTAGGTGGTAGCCAAGGCGGGAGCAGCTAAAGCTAGAGCGGCCAAAACAACGATAAGGAATTTCATTTTGATGGTACAAAGTTAACGTAAACTGTGATGATAATGCAGTAAATTGGCACAATTTATACAAAATTTTCTTAACTGATAACATTATTTAAGTTTTGTTTAATCATTGGTATTTGCGGTGCTTTCATGAAGTGCAATATGCTAAGTGGAACGTACTCGGTTTGGAGTACTTGTATTACATACAAATGTGGCATTAGCCATTATTGTACTTTTTGTAGTAAGTTGATATTCATGTAAAAATATAGGAAACTTCTCTTTCTGTTAGAATAATGCAAGATTTGGATCCATGACATCTAGGGCCTGCTGAAAATTGATTTCAACAAATATACATACAGACGGAAAGTATTATGCAATTGAACTGATATATTGGGATCGACTCATAATCATAATCATTATGTCCGTCAATCTGGCAGTCCATGTAAACTTTGTAAGCAAGGTACAAGTCTTAATTTGACAAGATGATTTGAGGAAAAACGATCTGTAATGTTGAAATCGGTTTATTATTTCACCTATTAAACCCTCTTCTATTTCATAAATATGTCATATACATATTTACATATGTATGTATGTATGTATGTATGTATGTATGTATGTATGTATGTATGTATGTATGTATGTATGTATGTATGTATGTATGTATGTATGTATGTATGTATGTATGTATGTATGTATGTATGTATGTATGTATGTATGTATGTATGTATGTATGTATGTATGTATGTATGTATGTATGTATGTATGTATGTATGTATGTATGTATGTATGTATGTATGTATGTATGTATGTATGTATGTATGTATGTATGTATGTATGTATGTATGTATGTATGTATGTATGTATGTATGTATGTATGTATGTATGTATGTATGTATGTATGTATGTATGTATGTATGTATGTATGTATGTATGTATGTATGTATGTATGTATGTATACCAGCATCTCTAAAAATTATTTAACTTTGTTATAAATCGCATTTAAATAAATTTCAATTATCTATTCAAATTATATTTATCTATTAAAATTTTAAATATTTTTAATACGTAATACACTCATACTACTAGTTAAGAGTGTTCCACTTAGACAAAACACCTTCGTTCTAAAGTACCTACTAGGGATCTGACTAATTCAAAATATTGTTATCAGTTTCCAAAATCTACTATAAATTGTGACAATTCCACTTCATTATCATCACAGTTTACCTTAACTTTGAATAATCAAAATGAAATTCATTATCGTTGTTTTGGCCGCTCTAGCTTTAGCTGCTCCTGCCTTGGCTACCACCTACAACCGTTGTTCTTTGGCTAAAGCCATGTACAATTTGGGTGTTCCTAAGGATCAATTGGCTCGTTGGACTTGCATTGCTGAGCATGAATCTTCCTATCGCACTGGTGTTGTGGGACCTACCAACTCTAATGGTTCCAATGATTATGGTATTTTCCAAATCAACAACTACTACTGGTGTCAACCTTCCAACGGACGTTTCTCCTATAACGAATGTAAAGTAAGCTGTGATGCTTTGTTGTCGGATAACATTAGTGCTTCGGTAACCTGCGCCCGCAAGATTTTGAGCCAACAAGGTTGGACTGCCTGGTCCACCTGGAAATATTGCAACGGTAATTTGGCCAGCATTGATAGCTGTTTCTAAATTGTTAAAGTTTTGAGAATTTCGTTTAATAAAATTTGTGAAAAATAATAATGATATACAAATATATATATATATTTTAATAATAACTATTTTCGTGGAAAGGGAGGAAGACTAGTACTGAATTACTTTCGCAATTACGTTTTGGGTGTAGAACACGTTTCTAGTTGTAAGTTCTCATTTGAAGCTTTGAAGTTGGTGGTCTGATTAGAATGTAGTCGTTATTCCTACATCGGCACACTTCCAATCAAAAAACTGAAGATGGTTATTGATGTTTTTCCTAAACTAACTATGTCTATAGAGCTCACCTGTTCACTTCGAACTGGTTTTGTTCTCAAGTTGGTATAAGGACAGAGACATTGTCGGACTAGTCCGATGTTAAATAAAGTTCGCAAGCCTAGTAAAAAGTACCTGTTGTTTAAATTGGGACTTCATAAACTTATAGGACGCTGCCTCAGCGGTCTCCATTGTAAACAATTCTAATATTGTGTATGTTTATTAAAAACAGAGTAGCCATTTTGCAATTTTTGCGCTCAGTCAAAATTGAACGAAATCAGTGCCCCGTTTCTGTAATTCTCGCATCGAGAAAATCTGTCGAAAAATTCATGATCATCTTGTGTAAAATAGGGTGAATACAAGAAATTTTAAAATTTCTTATAAAATTTTAATGAGTACAGTTTAAAAATAATCTGAGTCACACTGTTAAAAACTGGAAGACTATTATATTTTAAGTTTTTTCTCGATTCGAGAAAATTACAGAAACGAAGTACAGATTGAAGTTCGAAATGGGCTTTGTTTAGGGTAAAGTTTTGTTTTAGATATTTTAAATTTAGAGACAGAAAAAAAATCCTTCGATTTCTTGGTATTACCAACAAATTGATGGGATATTATTTGTGGTTACGACTTTTGTTTAAAGATTGAATTTAAAATTTCTTTATATGTACATATTAATCAAATTGTCAGTATTACAAAGAGTCTGAATAAACTAAACTTATATGAAACCGAAACTATAAGTGAAAAACATTATATTAAAGTGTTCGAATTCCAAGATATAGGGCTTGCGATATCAATACCAGTATTAGTATGACATTTACATCGAATTTAATTTTATAAAGAATTCTCTCCTACTGTCAAAAAACAACTTTGTGGAGAATTCGATAGGGAAATTGCTCTAGATGTTAGATTGTCGAGAAGTAAAAACTTCAACTTTTTTAACATTAATTTCAAATCAGAGATTCATCTTTTATTTAAACTTGTTTCATTCATTTCTTTCTTTTAACATTAGTTTAGTTTTCATAGATTTAATTTTCGAATTGCTCTTAATCCATATCAGTGGAAACCAGATCAACAATAGTAGATTTAATATGGTGGCAATAAATATCGATTCAAACACTTATTGCTCCTGGAATCAATGTCAAATGGATCCAATGAAGACACTTGTATATTCAACCTCATTGTATTTAAACTAAATTTTGAAATCATTTAGTTTATATCATGGACCTGCTATAGAGCAGCTTAAAATTGTTAATAGACGTTCTGCTAGAAACACCCAATTTAAAAACAAGAATCACTAAAGTACAAAGTATTCTACAAATATACAAGACCCCTTTCCTCAGTCATTCTCTATTTTTAAAACAATGTTTTAATCTTTTTTATAAACTTTATTAATCAACCAATTACTTATATGTTCAAAAGTTCAAATATTTAGAAACAGCTATCAATGCTGGCCAAATTGCCGTTGCAATATTTCCAGGTGGACCAGGCAGACCAACCCTGTTGACTCAAAATCTTGCGGGCACAGGTCACCGAAGCACTAATGTTATCCGACAATAAAGCATCACAACTTACTTTACATTCGTTGTAGGAGAAACGTCCGTTGGAAGGTTGACACCAGTAGTAGTTGTTGATTTGGAAAATACCATAATCATTGGAACCATTAGAGTTAGTGGGACCCACTACACCAGTACGGTAGGAGGATTCGTGTTCAGCAATGCAAGTCCAACGAGCCAATTGATCCTTAGGAACACCTAAATTGTACATGGCTTTAGCCAAAGAACAACGGTTGTAGTTGGTAGCCAAGGCAGGGGCAGCCAAAGCTAAAGCGGCCAAGACAACAATAAGGAATTTCATGTTGATTATGCAGAGTTAACGTAAAGTAAACTGTAATGATAATGCAGTAGAATTGGCACAATTTATACAAAATTTTGTTCACTGATAACAGTATTTAAATTTTGTTTAATCATTGTTACTTATTTCAGGTGCTTTCAATGAAGTGCAATATTCTGAATGGGACGTATTATATTTGGAGTACTTGTGTTATAAATGTAAATATGGAAATCAAACCTATGAAGTAATTCCACGTCATTATCTTATTTAATAATTTTATGAGATAATTAAATACATTAACATATTTATTACAAAATATAGTAAGTAAAATACCCTTTCAATTATCTAACAAATTTATAATTATTTAAAATATAGAAGTCTAACTATTTAAATATGAACTACTCATACTCCTGGTTAAGTGCATTCCACTCAGACAATTCCCTTTAGAACAAAAGTATCCACTACAATTTTGATTACTATATGTAAAATGAAAACGTTTTTATCAATCGCAAAAATCTACTATAAATTATGGACAATTTCAAACAATTATCACAGTTTACCTTTCGTTAACTTTGTATAATCAAAATGAAATTCCTTATCGTTGTTTTGGCCGCTCTAGCTTTGGCTGCTCCCGCCTTGGCTACCACCTACAACCGTTGTTCTTTGGCTAAAGCCATGTACAATTTGGGTGTTCCTAAGGATCAATTGGCACGTTGGACTTGTATTGCCGAACACGAATCCTCGTACCGTACTGGTGTCGTTGGTCCTACCAACTCTAATGGTTCCAATGATTATGGTATTTTCCAAATCAACAACTATTATTGGTGCCAACCTTCCAACGGACGTTTTTCCTACAACGAATGTAAAGTAAGCTGTGATGCTTTGTTGTCGGATAATATTAGTGCCTCGGTGACCTGTGCCCGCAAGATTTTGAGTCAACAAGGTTGGACAGCCTGGTCCACCTGGAAATATTGCAACGGTAATTTGGCCAGTATTGATAGCTGTTTCTAAATGATTCTAAGAAAATTGATTAATAAAGTTGTTGAAAAATATGGATACAATGTTTTAATTATTTGAATTTGAAATAACAAGAAAAAGATTTCAGTTATAATCATGACAGTCCCTATTTATTACAATGTTTTTACTTCAGTTCAGTTGTATTTAAGTTTAGTTTTAGTCCACTTGTAATTCAGTAAGTTCTAATTCAGTTCTAGTTCAGTTTTAGTTCAGTTCTAGTTCAGTTCTAGTTCAGTTCTAGTTCAGTTCTAGTTCAGTTCTAGTTCAGTTCTAGTTCAGTTCTAGTTCAGTTCTAGTTCAGTTCTAGTTCAGTTCTAGTTCAGTTCTAGCTCAGTTCTAGTTCAGTTCTAGTTCAGTTCTAGTTCAGTTCTAGTTCAGTTCAAGTTCAGTTCTAGTTCAGTTCTAGTTCAGTTCTAGTTCAGTTCTAATTCAGTTCTAGTTCAGTTCTAGTTCAGTTCTAGTTCAGTTTTAGTTCAGTTTTAGTTCAGTTCTAGTTCAGTTGTAGTTCAGTTGTAGTTCAGTTCTAGTTCAGTTCTAGTTCAGTTCTAGTTCAGTTCTAGTTCAGTTCTAGTTCAGTTCTAGTTCAGTTCTAGTTCAGTTCTAGTTCAGTTCTAGTTCAGTTCTAGTTCAGTTCTAGTTCAGTTCTAGTTCAGTTCTAGTTCAGTTCTAGTTCAGTTCTAGTTCAGTTCTAGTTCAGTTTTAGTTCAGTTGTAGTTTAGTTCTAGTTCAGTTCTAGTTCAGTTCTAGTTCAGTTCTAGTTCAGTTCTAGTTCAGTTCTAGTTCAGTTCTAGTTCAGTTCTAGTTCAGTTCTAGTTCAGTTTTAGTTCAGTTGTAGTTCAGTTCTAGTTCAGTTCTAGTTCAGTTCTAGTTCAGTTCTAGTTCAGTTCTAGTTCAGTTCTAGTTCAGTTCTAGTTCAGTTCTAGTTCAGTTCTAGTTCAATTCTAGTTCAGTTCTAGTTCAGTTCTAGTTCAGTTCTAGTTCAGTTCTACTTCAGTTCTAGTTCAGTTCTAGTTCAGTTCTAGTTCAGTTCTAGTTCAGTTCTAGTTCAGTTCTAGTTCAGTTCTAGTTCAGTTCTAGTTCAGTTCTAGTTCAGTTCTAGTTCAGTTCTAGTTCAGTTCTAGTTCAGTTCTAGTTCAGTTCTAGTTCAGTTCTAGTTCAGTTCTAGTTCAGTTCTAGTTCAGTTCTAGTTCAGTTCTAGTTCAGTTCAGTTCTAGTTCAGTTCTAGTTCAGTTCTAGTTCAGTTCTAGTTCAGTTCTAGTTCAGTTCTAGTTCAGTTCTAGTTCAGTTCTAGTTCAGTTCTAATTCAGTTCTAGTTCTGTTCTAGTTCAGTTCTAGTTCAGTTCTAGTTCAGTTCTAGTTCTAGTTCAGTTCTAGTTCAGTTCTAGTTCAGTTCTAGTTCAGTTCTAGTTCAGTTCTAGTTCAGTTCTAGTTCAGTTCTAGTTCAGTTCTAGTTCAGTTCTAGTTCAGTTCTAGTTCAGTTCTAGTTCAGTTCTAGTTCAGTTCTAGTTCAGTTCTAGTTCAGTTCTAGTTCAGTTCTAGTTTAGTTCTGGAATATTTAAAGGTAAAATAATTTTGGGATAACAGAAGTTAAATTTAAAAATATGTTAATTGACGTTTTCTTAAAACCCAATACAAAATGATAATTAGAAACTGATTTTAGTCCCTGATGTACTCTTCAAATCTTTTTTATTTCTCGTCGAAAATTACATTTGATTAATTTTTAAACTAACTAAAGTCCGCTTCCTTATTATGAAACAGTCATCTATACTATGCAAACTGTCGCTACAATATTTCCAAGCGGACCAAGCAGACCATCCCTGTTGGCTCAAGATCATGCGGGCACAGTTCACCGAAGCACTAATGTTATCCAGAAATAAATCATCAAAGCTTACTTGACATTCATTATAAGAGAAACGACCGTTTGAAGTTTGACACCAGTATTGATTGTTAATTTGAAAAATACCATAATCATTGGAGCTATCAGAGTTAGTGGGACCAATAACACCCGTATTGCTCGTGTTCAGCAATACAAGTCCAACGGGCCAATTGATTTTTGGGTACACCGAAATTGTACATGGATATAACCAAAGAACAGCGATTATAGGTGGTAGTCAAAGCAGGAGCAGAAAAGGCTAAAGGGACCAAAACAATAATAACTAATTTCATGTTGATAATTTTAAGTTAACGTGAAGTTAACTATGATAATTGATACCATTATTCTCTGTCAGCAATTTACCATTATTCTCTATCAGCAATCGTAAAAGCTGCTTGTATTTAAGTAAAAGCTGCAATAATAATGTATTTTACAATACTTTATTAAATTCTTTTTGCAAATTAGTTTCTAAAGGATATCGAAACACACCCAGTATTTCAATATTTTTTTCGATAAGAAAGTTTCCTGGAATCCATGATGAGAGGTATTGTAATATAAGGCTGTAATTAAGTTTACATTACAGTTTTTATTGATAGCATTTATCAGGGAGATGAAGTGTCAGATATTTCCATAATAGAAACCTCAATTATGATGTGGAAAGTTAAAAGAAAAGTCATAAAATTAACTGCAAAGATTTTGGTTCTTATAAAGTTTTTGAGTTATCGGAAAAATTCCATATTTGACCTAAAAAAATATTTGACATAAAGCTCAAAACGGGTTTTTTACGATATCAAAAAAACATAAATCCAGATTCGGACTAAGCGCTGCTCAATCCTCTAGAAAAATATCTCTGGGTTTCGATTTTATTCTGTAATTATTCTTAACCCATATTTCAAAAATTAATTAAAAAAGTTTTCATTAAAAATTTAAGATGTTTGGTCACGTTATTTTTGCAACTTTACTTATTTTTAAGTTGTAAGTCGATAAAATCGTTCATGCACAACAAATTTTACAGTATAAACTACTAAAAACCTTGGCAACCCTCACATTTTTAAATAGTTTAACAACCCTGAATAGTGAAAACAAATAACATTACCAGATTTATCGTCATTTATAACAATTTTGACGATTTTTATTGTCGAAAATTACTTCCAATTTTATAGCAGTTGTTAATTTATTCTTAATGTTATATATTTGTAGACTTTTAATGGCTCAGTATCATTTAATATACATCAAATGAAAGCTCTGTGAGTTTTCTTTACTTCCTTTGTTATCTATATCAAGTTGCATATTCATTAGTTTAGTGGGTTGTTTCGGAATTTTGCTAATATCACAGTTATATATGGGCCAAAGTTACTGATTTTTTACATATAAAACTTCTCCAAAACATGTCTGATAGAATTATAGAAGATTCAAATCTCGCAGATATCTGAGGTCTTTAGACAACTGTCCGGATAAACGGACATGGCTAAATCGACTCCGCTAATTATAAGAACTCGGAATGCGTGGATAATACCCTGAAAATGATTCTAAACCAATTGGTAAACTGTAAAGTTTGTATTGAAACATTAGTTTTTTAGTGCCTTTTCTTGTTGGTGATTTTTTACAAAAGTAATCTGGCAACAATACAAATGGTTGACGTTGTAAAACAACTAATTTTAGTCGCCGATAAAATGTAAGAGCTAACGCCGACAACTTTAAATTGTCAACTGACGCCGTTAATTTTGTTCGGCGACGTCAACTGTTTCAGTTGACGTTTGCTCGTGTTCGTGTTTAATTCGTTAGTGTAAAGGGGAACGCATATCGTTTTACGTAAATTTTATTTTTTTAATTAATTAAAATTAAACATAATTATAAACAACAACAAATAATAAAATTTAAAGGCCTTTTATGAAAAAGAAAACAAAAAATCCTAGTGAAGTGTTAAAAAAGCAAATAAGTTTGTAAACAAAAAGTGTAAAATAAATAGAGAAATATTAGAAAAAATGCAACAAAATAATAAATAAAAGAAATGAAAAAAAAAAATTATATATAAATGGTATTTAGGGCATACAAAATTAATGCAAAAAAGAAAATAATAATAATTTAACAGCGTAATGGCAATAAGAAAGTTGATTTTCTCATAAATATTTAAAATAATAAAAAGTGTTGAAAAGAAGCAG